ATGTTCTTTTTTTTCATTTCACAACCACAACCAAACTTTGCCTATTAACAGATGTTCAGTAAAGACAGCATTTGAAGGGTAATTTGGGGAAAATATGTGGACCTTAAAGTAGCGTCATTGTCGCTTAGAATCAATGCTTTGCATCATAGGACCGACTAGACCCCTACCAGCGTCAATTTTCTGTCTCTATGTTTCTGCTATATGCCCTATCTGTGAACACTCAAACCCCCTTTACACTGGACAGCGTCCTTTTTGCGTCCTCTGTGTGACCATAAAACTTGCATCGCTGTGGTCGTAGAAAGGAGGCACAAGCATCGCTTTGGTTGCAGAATCAATGCTCAATGATCAGCCAGTTTTTTAACCTCTCAAATGGGCACGTAGAAAGGACCCCGTCCAGTGTAAAGGGGGCTTTATTAACACTCCTTGGTTGTGCCTCATGATCCCAGAGAATGGAGAACGGGGCAGTGAGTTGGAATACACAGAGAAATCTAAAAAGGATAATGAGGCCCTTAAAACACGTAATTTTTCATAAAGCAATTTCGTCTCCTTGGTCTTTGTTGTTTAAAGAAGTTAAAAAAAAAGGCAGGCAGCTTTTTAATGCCGTGGTTCTTGTACCAGTCTGTCTGTTAGATATATCTAACTGTTGCTTTGACAAGTAAATTCAGTAGCTTTTTTCTTTGTCAATAAACGATGCCTTAACTCCAACGGGACGCAGATACATTTCACTGAAACCTTATACAGTTTGAACCGGAAGGCAGTAATAACAAAAGATAAAGACAAGGACAAAGTTGCTGTCATATTACAGTTAAACACGCACTTTGTTGGCTACGCAATTTGTCTCAATAGACGTTCAAGGCTTTCAGTGTTTAAAGAAATGACATTCTAAATGAACACCATTTTAACGCTCAAGTATCACATGGTATCGGTTTATTATTGCATACACTTTGAAACTCATCACAGCACAGGGGAATGTTGGGGGGGGGGGGGGCGTCTCCTTTGGAAAACAGAGGTGCAATCGTTACTCTACTTTAATCTAAAGGAAGGATTCGACCTGACGGAAGCAACCAAATACACCGGAAAATGCCCCCAAAATACAAGTTAATGAAAAGTGGTGCCTGGAAAGTGGAGCGTCTTGAAATCCTAAGGTGCCTAGGCTACGTTCTGTTTCACCCAAACCAAACTGCGACCAAACACGTTACCCCAAACACCTATCCGCATCAAACGCGTCACCTCAAACTCCAAACAACACCCAAACGGAATCATCAATTGTTTCCATGCCTAGCTGTGCACATATATACACACGTGTGCGTATACATACTTGCCTCGAAAGGCAATCATTAGCTCTGCACCCGCCTAGAAGTCCTTGAAATCGGTCTACGAGCAGAACCATCAGAATCAAGGCACTGCGTATTGTATGTCTCCATTGTATGCTGTAGACGGATAGATGTGAGTGACTTTATCAGAGAATAATGTTCAAGGTATCAGATGACTTCAATCACTGAGTGAAGGCTGACTCTTCAGACCTTTTTGCACTGTTTCAGTAGAGAGAGAGAGAGAGAGAGAGAGAGAGAGAGAGAGAGAGAGAGAGATTTACTTTTTTTGGGCGGGTTAATTCATCGTGTATCAATTGTATCAACCTATTAAATTGCAATTTTCTTTAGAAGTCTTACAGTGGACGAACAGCACATACTATATCAATAACAGTGGAAACTATCGGCAGCTGCAAATCGAATTCTGTCCAGTTAATGTGAAGGGAGATAATACATAGATAATATACAGACCCCCCACGAAAATCAGGTTGAATACAGTTCTTCTTTCTGATTTGTCCTGAATCCAGTCTTACAATTAAAAATCTGCTGAAATGTTGTAGCGCATGTATGAGGCGTATAAAAAGCAATACACAGTTACCGTAAGAGTACTCTATTTCAAACGAGAACTGTGGCCAGTCTTTACCCAACGTTGATTGAGTATCAACACCCAACATTGACAATCTATACCCAACATTGACGGATTATCTGTATGCTTTTTGTTTAAGTAAGCAACCATCGCCTCGTAAGCCTTGTATAAATGCACATTCAGAATAGATGATCCGCCAACTAACCAATCGGCAATCCTCGGCCAATTCCGCCAGCTCCATACTAACCTCGGATGTGATAGGCGGAGAAATATGCACCAAATCCATGCATTTTGTCCGCCGGAAATGCCTTCTCACTCAATCGATCATTACACTCATAAAGATGGCTGTCAATACCCCTGATTTTTATGATGCTTTACAGTTTGCCAAACAATGCACTAAGATTGACTTTGATTTAAAAGATAAATAGATACAGGCGTTGAAAGAATTAGGTTTAAATTAGCGCGAGGTTGAAAGTAGTTCCTTCCCAACAATCAACAATCAAATATGGCTGCCTCCGTATTACATCCGAGGTCATTGACATCCGAGTAGTTCTGAGTGCCAACTAACTGATCCGCCGACTAAATATGGCCGACCCCACTTAAAAGCGATGCCGCTACTTCCCTGACTGTCTCCCCGCCTCCACACGTTCTGTCGCTGCAGGGGCCTAGCAATTAAACCTCGGAGCCGAGATTTAATGCGTTTAGTCGGGGGATCAGTTAGTGCGCGGATAATCTTTTCTGAATGCATTCTAAAACTTATCTGTCAGGACGAATTGTATATCACGGGAGGAATGTTTTGAAGAACGGACGACGTTTTATATTTGCCATGATCTGTTTTTTCTTTTTTTATATGCGTCTAGACACTGTTATTAGAGCCCTAACATTTGAGTCTGAGTTACGTGAGAATTTTCTCCAATGCAAAGGAATCTTAGGGTCTATTCTCACAACTTTAGATCGATCTATCACCGCGGGGAGTCTCACCAGACTACCGTCAGATAATCCCCCTTAAGTGTCCGTCCCCGCCCACTACAAGCCGTAAGGGGCAACTAACTTTCGTGTCCGCCCGGTTGACAGCTATTCAGCGCGAACCCCCAGGGAGTTAGGTCGATCCAAAGTAGGTCGATCTAATCTATGGAAATGGGGTGTTATATCAAATACAGGAATCATCACTAGGGGAATCAAGATATCAGGCAAGATAATATTTATACTCTCGTTTTTTTTTTTTTGCGTTACACTAATAATGCCTCCTGAAACTTTAGAATATCTCGATAATAGCAGGCAAAATTATGTACATTTTGATAACTTTTCTGAAAACACGCTTTAATTTTAAATTATTATTATTATTTCAGCACGTGGGTCCTATTGAAGAGTAGTGTGCACACAGCTGAGAAAGCAACGAACTGAACGACTGGCCCTGAGAAGGTCATGTAGGCAATCAGGCAGTAGCTAGTGGATTCAGGATATCTGCGCAGATAGAAAGACCTCCGTGATCAAGAACAAGTCCGTAAAATTCATTAGATGCAACTGAAGTTAATTGAATCAAATACACTAGGGGAGTAAAAGGGGGGCATATTTTTCCACACTCATGAATACTCATAACAGCAGGATGAGGGGACGCGGGGGGGGGGGGAGGAACTGCGAATTTATTTTCTGAATTGTACCCCCCCCCCCT